ACTGCAGAGATAACGAGTTAATTACAACGATACCCATACAGCACAGATCATTGCAATTATATTGCAGCAACATTGCAATGTTGCTGCAATATAATTGCAATGATCTGTGCTGTATGGGTATCGTTGTAATTAACTCGTTATCTCTGCAGTAGACAACACATAAATATATTATATAATTATATAATATATTTATGTGTTGTCTACTGCAGAGATAACGAGTTAATTACAACGATACCCATACAGCACAGATCATTGCAATTATATTGCAGCAACATTGCAATGTTGCTGCAATATAATTGCAATGATCTGTGCTGTATGGGTATCGTTGTAATTAACTCGTTATCTCTGCAGTAGACAACACATAAATATATTATATAATTATATAATATATTTATGTGTTGTCTACTGCAGAGATAACGAGTTAATTACAACGATACCCATACAGCACAGATCATTGCAATTATATTGCAGCAACATTGCAATGTTGCTGCAATATAATTGCAATGATCTGTGCTGTATGGGTAAAGTATGATACGCGAGGCGTGATTAGGAATTAATACTCGAAAGTTTAAAAAGTATTTTACATACAGAGACACGTGTACATATACATATTTATAAAGGCATACACGTTCCATTCGTTTCATGTAAAACTTTTCAAAATAATTGATTCTTTTGTCCTTTGCGCGAAATCATTTCTATAAATGGTGTCGAGGAAACAATATATGTGTGTTACACTCGACTAAATAACATTTTATATCAATTATAAAAAGATCTGGCGTACCTGTTTCCAAATGCATTTCTTAGCTATCCATGTAATGCCTTCCCTCAACAGATGTTCTATCGTACGCCAAATCATAATATATATTAGCAGTAGAATCGCAATGGACTGGCGATATTTGTCGAAATGAGCATGTAAATATACGATATTTAGCGAAACACACACACGAAAATATGTAAGCCAGACTGATGACTGACAAAGTGACCCACGTAGGTGGCACCACATCGCGAGTGTTGATTGGACGAGAGAATTGTATTGTTATCAATTTCCAACATGTATTAGCCAACAACGGTCAATATAAGGTATCATGAATTACTGTGTAAGATTAGATAGCGAAAAAATATACAGAAAAACATTTCTCCAAAGTAGACGCATAATGTTGATGGAGCTTTTATAATTGGATTACATTATTATAATTTCGCAAAAAAAAAGAGACGTAGATTGTAATTTTTTAATTTATTAATTTATT